CACACGCCCCTCTTTCCTTCATGTAAGAGATTTTCTAGAGGGCAGGAGACTGCCAACACTCACACAGAAGCCAGGCAGGAACAAAACGTAATGCTGTCCATCACTGAAACAGAGCAAATGGAATACCTGAGTACTAATACAAAGGTACATCAGCGTCTATGACAGCAAATGTTTTTGCATATGTTTTCTCCACCACTGAAGGTAAGTCAAGGTAAAGTCAAAGTGGGGTTCTGGGGTCTTTGGTCCATGACCACTTTCACTTTTCTCTCACTCATTGTTTCTAGGATGGCTGGGAGACAGGAGGACTCATGAAAAATCTAATTTTACCCAGCTGCTGCATTTTTGAGGGAGGGACATAACAGCGATGTCAAAATGTATGTCTACCCTACAAAAGTGTGAGGAATGGTTAGGACAGTCTGCCTCCTCAAAGGTGGAAGTTATGTTCAGAGCATTTTTAAATCATACTGAGTAGTAAGGCTACATTAATATGTGGTTAGCTCCTGCAGCTGCTGGATACACCTGGACAAAACTATTTGATTCAGGAGAGAATACAAATGCCAGCAGAAAGGAAAGCCAGTGTCAAGTACAGGAACAGATTGGCCTTTCCAAAGAAAAGAGACCAAAGTAAAGGACAAGATCACATGTCAGATACTTCAGTCGAGTAAAATTTGATTTTTTTCCTAGTGTGACCTGTTGATCCCACAGACTTTCTTTGGAAGAGTGCAGGGAGATGACCATAGGAGGTACACAGTACGTGCTCTTGCAGGGTGGGGAAGGGAGAGAAGGGAAGACAGTGATGGAAGAGACTATTCCTCCTAAGAGAGGGCTCTCTTGAAGTTTGGTTGCATTTTGTTCAAACAGTTATGCAAGAAGCACTTTCACAGCTGCAGAAAAATAATGCTACAGGTAGCACATGTCAAAATCTGATACGTTTGTCCTTTTGATCTGTAGAAATGTCAAGAAGTTCAGGACTATAATTTCTGAGGTCATAGAGAACTGAAGGAAACTTTGATACTCAGAATATCCAGAAATTACACTTCTGTCTCTTTAGCTACTTTGTCAGGCTGTGCCTGCGTCAATATTTACCTGAATCAATGTTTACTAAGCTTGGGTCAATATTTACTTGCATTTTTAGTAGAGGAACTCCATTGCTACAGTAAAGAAGAGTTTACTACAGGTGATTGGAAGAAATTATTATGCATACTGTAGAAAGGAGAGGAGAGACATGTTAGAGAACATGGAGGATGCCATGGTAGGAAGCTAATAAAGCCCAGGCATGAGATACAAAGACAGAGGAGGCAGAGAGCCCCTGAGAGGCAGTCAAACATGGGATCTTGTTTCATCTCCTCCTAATGGGGACTGGCACTTACCTAGCTGGTTCATGAGGTCTTTGAGGCAGATTTACTTGCCCCTCTTCCTTACCACAACCACTACAACAATGCTAACTAGTCTTTGATTCTCAAAGCTGGGATCTATTAGAAGGCAGCCCAAGACAAATGCCTTTTTCTGTAGTGGAAACTTAGAATGAGGAAGAACATGGATCCCTGGGCCACCATGTTCCAGCAGGACAGATCCTGTTCTCCTGCTTTGGTTTTATTCCAGTAACATTCTGGATGGCAATAAATGCTACCCTTTTTTTGCCAGGCTCCCCCCAGAAAAAAAAAAAAAAAAAAAAAAGAAAAAGCCTTTCTTTCCACCCTCAGTGGCAGATTATGTTGGCTCCCTGTTCTTCTGAGCAGTCTGCAACCTGTGCTGGCAGCACTGGGTGCCGGCTGGGTATGCGTTTCTCCCCCGCCCGCCCAGTGCTCCAGGAGCTCTTCCCCCAGGGCAGCTGGCAGCACTGGGTGCCGGCTGGATATGCTTCTCTCCCAGCCCAGCCCAGTGCTCCAGGAGCTCTTCCCCCAGGGCACGTTTGCTCCTTAGAGGGCAGCTGCTCATCTCCTTCCTGCAGAGACTTCCAGTGGACCCAGGCAGAGCAGTCAACAGCAGGCAGGCTTCCTGTCTTCTCTCCCACCACTGCCCTTTGAAAGGTCCACTGAATAAGCTGTGAGCAAATGAAGCAGATGCTATCCATCAAAATTTAATAAAAAGACTGTTATATAAATAACATTAACATGCAGTTGCCTGTAACTCTCTGGGAATCAGTATTTGGAGCAGCATGTAGCCCTAAAAGATTGTTAAATTGGAGAAATAAAGTCATATAGAAACCAAGATTGTTCTAATAATGATTTTTTTATATTGACTAAGCTGAAGTCAAACTAGGTCAGACTGAGAATGAGAACTTATCAATGCAAGGCCCTGTGTATGGTCATGGGCCTTAAAATTACATAATGGCTTAATATTGTTGTTGTTTTTTTAAAAAAGTTGTTTATCTTCTGACTGACATAGCAGGGGGCAAAGAGTGGGGTTAAAGGACCACTTGTATCAGAAAGGATCCCACATTCATATAAAAGCACACAAATGACTCAAAAACATTTATAGGGTACTGCACCAATATTCAATGTCATAGGTCTTCTCCCATTCAGTTGCTCAGTCCTCCACATACTCCACTTTGCATTTCAGGAGGGCTTGGACACCTAACACATACCCCTTCTGCCTCTGGGTATCAACAGGCAGCATAAGTGTTTTCATAATTCCTAAAAGTGGTAACATCTTTTCCATCTGAGCTTCCTGGGATGGACTTTGTTACAGAAAAAGTAGGAAAATTATCCCTCTACGGGAAGCAGTTCCTCTGCAGGCAGACTGGGAGCCCCCAGACCCTCCAGCAAGCACCCTGTGCTTCACCTGTTCCCACCTTGATCTTCATGCTTTTGTTTGACTCTGCCTAATGCATAAGACAACAAAGAAGGAGAGGTGGCTGTCCATCTCCCCCTGTGGCTCCAAAGACATGACTAAGCTATTGAATTATAACACCTTTCAACCCCATAACAGATATCAGAACAAATGCATTACAATTTTACTGGGAAAGGATATGAATGGATTTCATGAAGCAAACTGACAAGAAGTTTACCCTGACCTGTTCCTCATCAAAATCTTGCTTTGAAATGTTTTTAAACACCAGATGCAGCTGGCGACCAAGGTTCAAATAACTGACATTGCTAAGATGCAGCCAAGATTTCAGCAAGCCTCATGGCGACAGTTCTGGACAAAGATAAGGCTTTGTTTTAAGTATGAAAGCTTGGAACACCACTAATCATATGTAGAAAAATGTCACAACAAAAATCATTAGCAGTCTTGAATCCAGTGGAGAGGCAGGGGAAAGAAGTTAGCTCAAAGACTAGGGGTGAAGAAATGATCCTTAACTTTTAGAGCGAACTGCATAAGGACGCTGTAATGTAAGAGGTCTGATTACACCTTTGTGCTACACTTACCAAAACTAGCAGTCAATTATTCCACCATGTTTTCTTCCACCAAAGGAGAACAACTATAAGAGCTGTTTTAATGGCTCTTCTTGAAATTAAATGAAGAGAATAGCTAAAATTCCAAGAGTTTATTGTGTTTCTAAAAATTCAGACTTCCTTTAAACGTCATTTTACAGGCTTTAATTTCATATTTGCACCTGGTCTCAGCCTAGGGGCAGAAATAAAAGGATACAAGTCAAAACACAGAGACACAAGCCTCCAGTATTTAGATGGAACAGCTAACAGCACAGGGAAGCTATACATGTTCACAATGTGTTTAGATTACTAAATAAATAGTAATTATTGTATTTGCTCTCCTTTCAGTTTGCTCGACTTTTAAAATTGAGCAGGAATAGAGAAACTGTGTTTTAGCTTCCATTGATATTTGCATTAAAACAGAAATCACTAAAATAAAATAAAATCTGAACAATGAGTCAGATACATTTTTCCTTTCATGCTTTAAAAAAATCTTCACTGTCTCTTGAAAAAAAACAAAAATGAGAAAAAAATGAGAAAAAAAACCCCACCCCCAAAAAACAGTTAAAGTTAATTTCCCCTCTACTTTGCTGTCCTGGTGAGAAAGCAGTAAAAAAAGCAAAGTTTATATGAAGCAGTTCTAACCACAAATGTTAGAAACGTTCTACTAATGAAAACACGATTTTCATATATATAAAAAAACATGCACTAGATTGAAGAAATACATAAAAACTCTATTATTAGACAGTATAATAGTATATTACACTATATACTGCTTGTTTTGACAATGATTGTTGCATAGGCAAAGGCAGGTTGATATCTGTTTAAACAGCTTCACCTAAAGCTACCCTTTTTTTTTCTGATATTAATCTCCACTTTGACTAACTCCAAGATTAATTTTATATAATTTCCTTGAATTGCAAATACTATAAACAAGAGGAACAGCAAAACATTTTTCTCAGTAATGAGTCAGAAAAAAAACCAACATAGTTAAAACCAAGAAAACTTTCCTAAATATATGTTTTAAGGATATAAATAAAATAAGATGAATTACAGCTAAACATCTGTCTTATAGTGTGCATGTAGTTTGGGATTCTAAACAGACAAAAAAGAAATAAAGCAAATGAAAAAGAAAAAGGAGGAAAAGAAAGCAAAAGAGCTGATAAAGTTTCTGGCTACAATACAGGAGACATATCATTACCATATGATCTAATGTGGGTGTCAGCCTGGATTGTGTTCATTGAGAGAAACCTTATTTTTTAACTGTGCTATGGAATAGAAGCAGGAGGGTTTTCCACCAAGTGACAGTCACTGAGCTGAACTTACCCCCTCCTCCTTTCCACACCTGCAAAGCCTTTTGCCTGGGTTGAATATTTAGTTTAATTACATCTCAGCTTTGAGAGCTCCTGTTGCAAATCCCTGGATTAAAAGGTACGGTTTTCAGTACTTCTCCTGAACTATGCTGTACTAATAAAACTTCAGGCAAGTCTACGGCAAGAACTAGTTGAATTTTAAGAGAAGCAAGGAAAAAATCCTACTAAATGTTTAACAATGTTAAGTTTTGTATCCAGCACTTTTGTTTCTTGGGAACATGAGAATGCTTTCTCAGGGGCTGTGCAGATTTCCTACTGTTTATTTGACTGTTCTGTCTCTTGTTTTGATTTGTATAAGCACTGTTATAGTCCTTTCTTTTTCCTTACTGTAAACCTTTGCAGCAGTATATTCTCTGTTTGCAATCCAGTGTTTAGAATCGGTGATGTAGTGAGTGTAAAAAATGCATGAGTTCTTACATTTCTGTTTTAAACTGCACTCTGTGATTTCTTTTTTGTTCAGATTTCTTCATATATGTTCCAAACATAAATGAATATAATTTCAATTTCAAAGGAAAAAAAAAGTAGTAGTTAAAGGAGCTCACTGTATGCCTTTGTGAAGTTAGAAACTGCTTTGTTACAGTGTACAAACAAGGGACTCACATTTAAAGAATGTTCCTATAAATGAAGTAGTAGAAAAGAAAATTCCTGTAGTTGAAACTCCTGTTAATGGAGTTTTAAACTCTTTAAAACTTCCAATGCCCATGTTTGCACAAAATGGATAAAATGCATAATATAGGGGATTTTTTTTGAAACGGCACATATTGTTTAACTTGTCTTTTGTGACATTTTGAGAGATTTCTGACAGTAGGTGAACTAATATTTAAAACTTAATATTAAGGTAAACTGACAAGAAGACCACCAATACAGTGGTGACGTGAACTGATGAAGCATATTTCCAGTGGTATTTTAAGTTGAAATGTGGCCAAGTCTATGGTATAGTTTCCTCTGTTTGTGGAAAAGTCTTCCTCATTGTAAACACATAATTAAAGTAAATTTAAACAGTTATGTCCTGCAGACATAAATACTGTATCACAGACCTTTAAGAATTCAGATTTTTTCCCCTATTTTTTTTGTAAGTGAAATGTAAACACTTCTTACTAGTACAGTTTTGTATATATTTTTTTCTCTGTTTATGTTCATTTACACATGCAAACAGTAGGAACAGACATGTGTGCCTGCAGTACGAATATGTATATGAATAAAGATATGCAGACACTTATCTGTTCCTATTTCCTGATTAATATGTAGCTTGTGTCTGCTATTTTCTCTGCTGTGTCCTCAGATTAGATCCTTTATATCCTTTGTTGTCCTACAGTTTTCCTTTATACACAGCTCTTACTGATTTTATTATAGTTTTGACAAAACAAGGACCAAAGGAAAAGGCCTACTACAGGGTTTAAATGAGATAAGTGAAGTAATTGGCTTTAATGTGAACAAGAAGTAAAGTGTGAAGACACTTCCAAAGTGCCTTTGCATTGTTTTGGGGTTTTTTGAGAGGTACTAATTTAACTCCAGGATAAGATCCTGATCGTGCATTCTTGGAATGGACGGTGTTTCAGCAGTGACCCTGGAGGGGAATACCAGCAGTTTTAAATATTGAAAAATATTTTAAAAATATATAAATATGCAAAAAAGAGCTGGGGGAGCTCTTTAGAAAGTCGTAACTGCCAGTGCCATGCCAGGGTTGGTGTGAAGCATTGTCAATGTTTATTCATGTTAATGTACATTCTGAAAAATAATTTGTACTGGGGTAATGTTTTATTGATCTTTTTCACAAAGCAGCTTATTACAATGAATGGTGATGTTTTAGGAAATTTGTCTTCCCATTTTAGGCTATTAATAAATTGCATTGTTATTTTAGAACAATTCGTGCATAATAACGATTACTTCAAAAATCAAAAGCTGTGGTAAGAACTCAGCATTGTGTATTAACACCAATTTGCTGTGACATCCTTACCTGTCCATATGTACTTTGCCTGCATCATGGGGGTGTTGCTGAGGAAGGAACACAGCCCCAGTGTCAGTGGGGGCTGTGGAGAGGCAGGAGGGAGTGCAGGAGGACGGCCCACATGGGGACACAGCCTGCCCCTGCTACATGACACGAGTTTGCACAGCACTGAGTTGGGCTAACAGGACATGCTAAAATGCTCTGACCCTCTAGTTGACCTTGGGGTCTGCGAAACCCCCCAGTGTATGCAGTAGGTAATGTGTCAACTCCAGGAACAGAAAATTTTTTCAGGTCCAACTAAGAAACCAACTGTGTCTTTTTAAAGAGGCAACAGAAATGGTGTTTTACTCCATGTGAAGTCACTTTGAAGTCTTTGAGATATCTGAAGATACTAGATACCTGTCTTCCTGTTAAGTAGATGACAGAAATGTAAGCTATAGTTTTAAAACACTAGCATATTTTATAAGGCAACTTTATTGTCCTCTCAAGACTGAGCCCTAAAGGTTTCTGCAGGATTGCATTATTTGCATCTGTAGGTAAAAATTCATACAGGAAATTGAGCCCAGGCACAATATAGATTGTATCTAATTCCAGGCCTGTGTTTTTTATTTATTTAGCGTTTTGTTTTGTTGGGTTTTTTTTTGTTTGTTTGTTTGTTTTTTTCACTAGCCACTCCTGTTAGAGTACCTAGATGTGGTATTCTAGAAAGAGAGGCCTCAGTATACCACTCTCACCTTTGCCCACACTTGCCCATGTTATTCATCTGCTTTGTAGGTTCCGTATGTCAATGTAGAGAGGGACGGAGTCCTCCTCCTCTGCCTCTCTCCCAGTTTTTTTATCTCTTTGTTAGTCAATGTGGAGCTGAGAAATTCTAACTGTTAGACAACTTCTGCTAGGAAAAAACTAGTCCCAGCTAGTGCCCAGACAAGGCATTTTGGAAGTTATTGACCTGAAGAAGCAAGAGGACATTTTTGCTTTCATTACAAAGAGCAAGAACTGTATTCAGGACTATGCCACCCATTTTAAGACAAGGATCCTAAATAAATGACAAGTTTGCTTTTCTGTCACTTCGCAACTTGAAGGCAGGTTTCTTCATATATTTTTGTGGGTTGTTTTTAAACCCATGAAGGTTTGTGAAAGATAAGCTTCCTTATATATAATAAATAGTAAAAGAAAATAATTTTCAGAAAATTAGCTGATCTATACAGCGTTGATACAAGACCCGAAAAAAGCTGCTTTGTGGTTTCTCCTTAGCGCACAGCAGCACAGGTAGCACAATGTACAGTGTATTGAAATACATTTAGGCCTAGGTCCTGAGGACACCTATTTAAACAGTTTTACTTGTTAATATCTATGGCAATATATACTTATGTAAAGTTGCTCCTGAGCATGAAAGTCTGCAGAATGAGGTCCTGAAGTCCCATTGTAAAGTGTACTGACAATACTGCAAGCATCAATTCAAATGCTTATGCAGGGCAAAGCAGAGGATTTTCAGGGTGCATTGTTTATATCATAAAATCCCCTAGCCAAAAAATCTGTAAAGAACGCCAACAATATCCGATACAACATAACATTGTATTCCATTTTATTGTGCTGTTTAAAGTGGGAAAGAAGCATAGCTTGTTTAAACAACTAAAGATTTTCCTCTCTTTCTCCACCCCATCACTAGATCCTACTCTTTCTCAGTCAGTTTTACTAGGTTATAATTTAAAACACACAGCAAGCTGACACTTTGAAAAAATATTTCTCAAGACATGAAATACTGCATTACAGTGAGTTTGGGAACTTCAGGTTCATCCCCAGGGGACAAACTCATTGCCATGAAACAAATGCTAATTAAATCAAATAGACTGTTACGTTGGCAGAAAACAGACACATGGAAAATGTGGCTTATTGTGTTGACTGTTTTGCATAACAAAATTGGCAGCCCTGCCTGTTCCTAATAAATATTACTCTAAATATGCAAACAGATGTGTTTAGGGTTGCCTTTAAACTGCTCTGTAAAAAAAAAAAAAAAAGCCTATTGACAAGCAGTTACCAGACTCCTATCACATAACTGTCCTATTTTCACAATTCAGTTTTCATTTTTTGAAAGGAACAGTTATGCAATTGGTGGATATACTGGACCTCCTCCAGCAGGAACTGTGGTGCAGCTATGGGAAACTGCTACTTCTGTTCTAAATCTCCTGCTTTGATCCTTAGGTTCTGCCCAGAGTCGATGAACTAAGCCATGAAGCTAGCTCTTCTCTTCGTCCTACTGCTGCCAGCATGCTTGGCCAAGCCATTCCACCAGCAGGGCCTCTTTGACTTTATGCTGGAGGATGAAGGGTCAGCTGATATGCCTCCAACGGACGATCCCGTCATATCTGGATTTGGACCAGTGTGCCCCTTCCGCTGTCAGTGCCATCTTCGTGTGGTGCAGTGCTCTGACCTAGGTAAGCTCAGGAGTACCTTCATAGGGTATATTCTTATGTTCTAGCCATGGGTTTGTAGCTGAGACAGTGAGGCTGTTATGCTCTGCCACTTCGTAGGGTTTTTGTCAAAGAAATATGCTACAATTATTTTTAACTAGAATGTACTGTATGAAACAGGCCGTAAAGCCCTGACAAAACGGACATTTGTTGTGACCATGAAGAGTGTTTGATTTTTTTGATGTATATTTTGTGTGTGTACATTTCATTTGTTCTTTGAAAGATCACAGATTTCTGTTGCAGAGAAAATAACTTTTCAAGGCTATTCCTTCAAATGCATGTTAAATAAATTCGGTGAGGTCAGATGTGGGGATGGAAACATTTTAAAACGTTCTAAACTGCAAGGTCCAAGGTCCAACACCCTCAGTCGTACTGTCTGGTACCTCAACATAGAAATCATCCCATTTCCATAGGAATATATGAGCATGGAATAACCAGCTCTGAGTCATATATGCTGGAACCAGCTCTTTAGAGGAAAGAGCTTGGAAACACTCCAAAACAATGAACATTTTAGAGCTCCTTATTAAATATCTTTCTTAGACACTGTTCAAGCTGAAACCATGAGAACCTTTCTCACAAACTCTCCTTACTCCCTCATGTACAAGGGTTTGTCTGCACAGTCAGACCAGCAGGATGTGAAGCCATGACTGCCATCACTGTATTTGACTTTCCCATGCAGAAATCTCAACTAATGAAGTTGACTTGAGTCAGACTACACTTGTTTTAAGCCAGTATTATTCAGTCTAAGTCAGTGTACAGTCCAGAAAATCAATTAAAGTTGGTTTTGCTCACTACGAAATTAGGCAATTTGTTTAGTGAACAGAAAAATAACTTCTCTTATAATTTCATAGAGTTTTGGTTTGTTCTTTTTTTTAAAGCCTCCTCTCAGCTGTTTAAATGTATAGCTAGGTGTCTTTATTTTCCTATGTTATAGCATTGGCTTTGATAATTACTCTAAATCATGGCAAAAATTTACCACTTAGGACCTGGGTCTCATTGCAGTGGATGTTGTATAATTACAGAAAGGAGGGGGAAGCATTAGTTACATCCCTAGAAACTTCTGTGAATTTATTAAAGCAAGCCACAGAATTATGCAACAGATATGTTTGGCGAAGACCCAGTGAACAATGCAAGCCAGGTTGCACAAATGAGTACAGACTAACCTTGCCATGCATTCATGAAGCTTTCACATTACTGTTCCTGTTGAAAGATATTTTCTTTTTTTACCATTTAGGTGCCAGATAGTAGCAAACATGGGGTAGGGAGCAGGTTGCCCCACATGCCATGAAGGTCTTAGGTTTTATTGGTGTTACACTGGTTAATGCTGATGAAATTTAAATTATTTTGGGAACTTGTCCCCGGTTGTATTGGGTCTGGCTGAGATAGAGCTGGTATCCCCACAACAGCCCTCACAGAGCTGGATGTCACCCTGGCAGCCAGCAGGGTGTTTGTAACACAGCTTGGGAGGGGGCAGAGCCAGGACAGCTGACCCGGATTGGCTGTTCCAGACCATGTGACACCAGCTCAGCCATAAAAGCCCAGGGCAGGGAGGAGGAGGGGGGCATTTGTTCCTGGGTTTGTCTCCAGGAGCAGCTGCTGCACACACTGAAGCTCTGCTTTCCTGGGAAGTGGCCAGACATCACTTACTGAGGGGAAGCAGAGAACAACATCTTTGCTTACCTTTTGTTGCTGTGCATGGCCTTAGCCTTTGCTTTAATTTAACTGCTTTTATCTTGACCCACGAGTTTTTAATCTTATTCTCCCCCTTTATTTTTGCTGAAGGGGGAGTGATAGAGGGGCCTGGTGGGCACCTGGCATCCAGCCAAGGTTAACCCACCACACCGGTCTGCTTCAATTCTGCAGAATGTAAGGAGCTTTCTCTTGGTAAAAAAGTAGAGATATTCATGCAGGGACCCTTTGTTGCTATACTTGCTCCCATGTTCGTTCAGTTCTCCTTCACACACACATGGCTTCCAAAGGGTTGCACTACAGTGCACTGCCTACAGTTGCTTCTGGGTTAATAGAGTCCCATACTGACAAGGAGACTCAGAAATACAGCAATTAAGGCCTTGGGTCTCTGTTTCCCAGATAATTTTGAGACAGGTGATAAGAAAGAGAAATATCTTGAGCTTGGTTTAAACTCACATGCTGCAGATAATGCAACACAAAGATTGCGATTTTGAAGTGGCTGGGCTGATAACATCCAGCTTCTGGGCACAAAGGAAGAGAGATCTCCCTGCGTTTAAGATATGCAGTCCTGAAAAATACATAATATTTCCCTGGCAGAGCTCAAGGAAGTAATAACCATTCAGAGTTCCCCAGTTTTGGCATAAAGTTTGATCTGTCCTTGTCACATGTGGCTATGACAGCCCTTGGATGGGTCGTCACCCAGGTGGGAGGCTCAGCAGGGCGCAGGTCCAATGGCCACCCCTGGGAACAGGGACAGGACAGCTGGGTGTGCTCCCTGCTCACAGGCAAATCTGCCCTCTCCTCTCATCTCCTCTGGCCTTGAATCTATTTCTGTGTGACTCAGGCTCAGACAAGGTCAGGTTTACCTACTGGCTTCAGGAAAGCCAGGAGCCAGCCCCAAGAGCTCAAAATTTTGTTGCAAACTGTGAAGGTCCTACCAGGATGACCTAGCATGCTCCTGGGCTGTGGGATGAAGGGTGCTTGGGGCACAGTGATCAGGAAGATAATGTGCACAAGAGAGCCAAGAAACCAGCAATGACAGTTTCACCTCCCTGCTAACCACCTCTTCTGGCCCACCTTTGCTTTCAGCTCCGGGTATTTCCGACCCAACAAAATTATCTACCTCCCTCCCCGAAAATTATCGAATTTAGTCATCTAGTCCCATGGGCACCAATTGAAGAAAAACTGCAGGCAATAACAAGACTCCTCCCAAGGATATATTAAGAGGTCACTAAATTAGTCCCACAAAAGGAGGTTGAATTGTGGATCAGGATCCTTTTTTCCACTCACTGCCTGGCATTGAAGGAGGGCTTTTTGCAGCCATGAGCCCCTGGGTGCAGAAGGCATGTCAGAGCAAGGCAGCTAAGGCACCCTAATGTGGGCTACTTATGGAGAGGTCTCCTCTTCCTCAGCATGCTTCTTTTTGTGCCTATGCTATTTGTAAACTCTTGCTTCATAAGGAAAAAGCCAACTATCTGACACAGAGTTATGTGAATAAACCACATAACTATCACATCCAGGGTCCAGAGATCAGGTTTGCCCCTTGTCTTATGAGCATTGGATGGGAATAATATATATAAAAAAAAAATCCAAATTCAATAAAAACACTGGAAAAAAAAGTCCTGTGGTCCAATTACACTCTTGTCAGCTGAATTTCTGCATTCCTGTACTTTTAAGCTTCAGTCACATCTTCCTAAGCACATACCTCTGAATTAATTTATTTTGCCTCCAAGCCAAGGGCTGAGTTAGCAGGAAGGAGAATGCCGTCTTCTCACACCCTGAAGAAGAATTCTCTCCAAGCTGTGGTTACTGACAGATTGAGAGCAGAGCCCTATGTGCCTACCTTATATGAGATGTATTACCTTTGTGCAACAGGCTTAAGGATCTCATCAAGGGAGGCTACCGCGCTACCTTTATAAAAGCACCTTTTCTGAATCTGCCTCCTGTTGCTAAAAGGAAGCCACAGGTTCACTTTTTAATCGTGCTTCAGCATAAGGCATTACTATGCTATAGCCAGGCTTTCCATAGAAATCACAAACATCATCCTTATTAACACACCCTATAGGTGAGGTGTAGCTGATATAGGTGGACATAGGCAGCTCTTCATGACTTACAACAATAAACACAAAGAAGATGTGCAGTCAGACGTCCAGGCAAACATGCCTTGTAAAAGCCCTAGCAAGGATTAAGCGTTCCATTTAAGGTCTCATCCTCCCAAAGGGAGTCTCAAGAAAAGGTTCCTCCCAGAGTGCCCTGGTAAACAGGAGAACACGTGTGATTACTCAGCCCTGCAGTGGACGCAGAATGCTCTATAAGTGCATTTGGAGGTGGTGGTCAGAGCCCTACTTCACCTTCAGATAAGTCTGTCAGCCCCTTACAAAGTGAGCAGTGTCAGTGTTCTGCAGGATGCAATGAGCTCACCTTCCTTGGAGAGTTCACAGGACATAGGGGGGGTCCCTCTGCTCCTCTTGCCATGAACATCTGTAGAGATTTTGTGGTCTCCAAAAGGTGTGAGAGAAATGCATGTCAGTAATCAAAGTTCAAGCAGTATTACAGCTTGAATTGGAATTTTACTCACAGCTCAGAAATGCAGGAATTCTTCATCTGTAAAGAAGGCTACTAAAGCTCAGAACGGGTGTTGGAGTGTGTGTTTGAAAAGCACTTTGGGATCAGTGGGTAAAAAGCTCACAGATAATAATAATAAATAAATAAATAATAGTAAAACATTATTCCAGGGATCAGGTAATATGAGGCAGTTTATCTGAACAAATACAGTGTCTGAACGATATTAACTCATGACCCTTCAACACCTGAACCATGGTAACACAACAACAGCTAATTTATTTGTTGACAAAAGATGATTTATCTCATTGCATGAAATCTTCTAGAAATATCTGAATACCCATTTTCTGATCATGACTCCATTTGGGAACCTCATCCTTCATTATAAAGGCAATTATCTCCTTTGGGATGTACCTTGATTTGAATTTCTGTTGTCAACATAAAGTCTTTTAAAAGAAAAATAATACATACCTCATTGGTGATCAGTCTCAGTCATTTTATGAGTTCAAGAAAACAGAGAGGATTACTTGCTATTGTGTATTTAGCTTTAGAATCCCTGCCATTTTTTGAATGTTTGCCAGCCTTTCAAAAACATAATTGTAAAAGTTAAATGTTTAGCTCAAAATCTTACAGATTTCTAGAGTTGTAATAAGAGAAAGCATAGATCCTTAAATGGCCAGACATTGACAAACATAATTTTTAAATAAAAAAGT